CCCCGCGCAGCCCCCACCTCCCCGAGCCGCGGTCCCGCCGCGCTGCCCACCTTGGCCCGGGAGCGGCTGTGGAAGGGGCCGGTCTCCGCCAACAACAAAAGAAAGCATTTTCCTGCACCGGGGCTGTGGCAGTCGCCCGCACGAGTTAGCGCGAGCCTCCTGACTGACGTGGGCCCTCTTCTTCGGGAACTCCACGATGCCGGGCACGGCACCCCCTCCTACTCGGAGTTCACCGCCAACTTTTGGGGTTTTAATCGGCGGGATGTGTCTCCCAAGTGGGGGTGTGCGCTCTCCCTCCCGCAAGCACCCGGGCTGTGCCCACCGACCTCAGACCCTGTGTGCCGACCCAGAAGGACCCGAGGCACGCTGCGATGAATGCACCGCGGCTTAAACAACTGCGGGGCAATGGCCCCTTCATCGGACAAGGGCCTTTACCCCTCCCCCAAGGATGAGGACTAGTGTTTCTTTTGCTGTGGATCTGTTAAGAAGATTCCAAGCCCAGAGAAGGGCAAAGAGGGGGTTGTTAAACTTTTCCTTTTGGAGCGAGATGAAGCTTAACAAAGTATAAAACTTACCATTTAAAAACAAACAATTCAGTGGCGTTTATTACACTTAGAATAGCCAGCAATAACCACTTCACCTCCTGATTCTGAACGGTTCCGTCAGAAGGAAACCCCTGCGCCAATTAAGTAGTCACTCCTTTGCCTGGTCCCTGAAAACCATTCATCTCCTTTCTGTCTCTATAGATTTATGTTTCTGTGTATTTCATATAAGTGGAGTCATGTGCCTTTTTGGAGGGGCGGGGGCAGGTAGTGGAGAGGTTCTCACTAAGCTGCCCAGGTTGGCCTGGAACTCGCTCTGTAGCCCAGGCAGTCTTTGAACCTACAAACCTCCTGTCTCCCTAGTAGCTGAGATCACAGGCCTGCTCCACGGAGCCTGGTCTTGTCTGGGTCAAAGAATTCAGACAAGGCTTGTCCAGGTTGTAGCATGCATCACACTTCATTGCTTTCTTTGGCCATGTAGGATGTCATTTATATATGTTCTACAATTTGCTTATCTGTTCTTACGTCAGTTGGTGGAATCTGGATTATTTCCACCTTCTGAATAATGTGAGCTGGCTCTCTGAACATACCTTATAAATGCGTATGTCTAAAGAATCTGTTGCCAGTTCTTTGCATACTTAGGAGATCTTGTAGGTCTTATATGGTAATATGGTAGTATGTGTGACTTTTTTGTTCTGTTGCTTTTTGGAACAGGGTCTTCTCTAGCCCAGGCTAGCCTCAAACTTGCTATGTAGCAGAGGATAACCTTGCATTTTGGATCCTCCTGCTTCTACCTCTGGAATGCTGGGATTACCGGCGTGAATATTCCAGTTAGTCAACCACAGTCTTTGAGTAGGTGATCATCCAGGTTTTTGACTGTAGGAAATAAAATAGTAATAATAATAATAAACAGAGACATACTCAAACATTCCTTGGTGTGGGAGCAGAAGCACCTATAAAATACTCTAGACTAAGAATTATAACTGCTTTTTGTTCCTTATTTTAACAATAACTTGTCTGGAGACTGGAGAGATGGCTCAGAGGTTGCAAGCACTGGTTGCTCTTCCAGAGGTCCTGAGTTCAATTCCCAGCAACCACATGGTGGCTCGTAACTATCTGTAATGAGGTCTGGTGCCCTCTTCTGACCTCCAGGCACACATGCAGGCAAACTACTGAATACATAATAAATAAATAAATCTTAAAACAAAACACAATAACTTGTCTGGTGTCCCAGGACATTAGAAATTGCCCAGAGAGCCAGGAAGCAGAATGGTGGGTGGGGAGGATTCTATTGGCAAAAAAACAAAAACAAAAACAAAACAACAAAAAAAAAAAAACCCAAAACTTTATGACACACCATTTCAGAAGTCAAAACTTCACAACATTTGCACTTACGCCTTTCGTTTAAGGCTGTGTTAGAAGTCCTTAAAGACACTATTCTTAAAGGAAGATGCAATCAAAGGAAAACTATTGAGCTGTGAAATTAGAAGATCGATTCCGATTGGAAATCTGATTGATAAGTAGTAAATTGTGGGAGAAGCAGGAGAGCTAGCAAAGGGACCTGAACTAATTATTTCTGCATGAAGTATTTTATCTTCCTTGGATCTGTTTTCTCCCTGTTTAAGAGAGGGAGCGCGATGCCTACCTGATAGGTAAAAGCTTCCAGTGCTTTTGGTTTAAAATGAAGCTGAAGAGTGGCATGGGCTACATGAAGACATGCTGCTAAGAGCACATTTGACCCTGTGTTTCTCCTCAAATCAAGAGAGTCAGGCTATCTTCAAAACTAATATGGCAAGGATAACAACTCAGATACCTAACACAATTTCTGCATCTTGTCTCACTCTGTGTTTCCTGACTTAAGATGGCAAATTACCCTGGCCAGGCTTTTTAAGGTCCCTGAATCCTATCTGGAAAGGGCAGTAACACCTACTTCACAGGGCTATGAGAGGATTCAATGAGATGCTGTGTACCAAGGGCTTAGCACAGAGCTAGTGGGTAGAAAATTCTATGATAGAGACAATGCTATTGTAAATTCTCCAAGGAAAGTATTACCAGAAGAGCAAGATTAGCAGAGAAGCTAGTAAATAAAGCTATGTGGGGGAAGATGCATTGGCATGACTTGCCCCAGTCCACTCCCACAATGGGTATGAGCACTGCATTAGAGTCTGACAGTTTGTTGAGAATAGCTTTAAGCATGGGCTTTTTTCCCTCTGGCCCAGGTTTACCGAGCAGTCTTGACATGGCAGCTGGCTTCTACAAAAGCTTTCTGAAGAATATGAACTGAGCATCTAACCTGAATGCTGCGGAGTTCAGAGAAATCACAATGTTCTTTGTAAACTGATGTTTCATTTATCACTCTGCCTGTTGCTATTTAAAATGGGCAAAGTCCCTGAAATCTAACTGAGAATGCATATTAGAAACTATTTTAAATTGGCTTTTCTAGCAAGTAGCAGAGTTGAATCAAATCTTTCCAAAGGAAAAGGTGAATTGTAAACACAAAAGCAGCCTGAACAGGACATGCAGGAATCTAAAAGCCTCTAGGAGCAGCTTTATCTACTTAGTTTCAGGTTACCAATCCTTCTTCCCTTCCTTTATCCCCTCTTTTTTAATATACAGTCTTGTTATGTAGTCCAAGCTGGCCTCCAACTCTCCAGCAACTTGCCTCTGTCTCCTATATACTGGGATTACAGGAAGGCACAACTGAACCCAGTTTGTCAGTGTGTCTTTCCATGCCTCTTTCTATCCTGCTGTCTTTATTTCCTGTGTATATTCTCTTTCTCTTGTTACATCTTTCTCTGTGTATGTGCTCCATTCTCCTCCATCTCCCAGCCTGCTTCCTCTGCTTAACTCTCCTGCACTTAGCCATAATAGACGTCACTACCATCATCACTCCAGCTTATGGTGAATGTGGAAATGTCCTCTCCCATGGTTCATGTTTACCCAGACAAAAAAAGCAAGTAAACAGGCTAAGCCCATTGCTTTAAGAAAGGATAAGCTTACAACATGTGTGTTGACTGCTTTTGGTTTAGAAATCCACTTCTGATGTAATAGATGATTCTGGCATAGAGGAGGGGGATTGACAGTTGCAAAATACCCACCCGAGATAAAGGGGCTGCAAGGGGGAGAATTCACCAAAGGTTAGCATAGGAAGATAGATACACTAAAATAAAATCCTTGTATTAATAGGACTGTATTTTTGGAACAAAGAAATTAGGATAGATTCACACGACAGGAAGATAACTGTAGCTGCCACCCTTCATCCAAAAAAGCTTCTCTTTGTAACAAAGACCATTAAAAAAAACCCACAACTGGTTAAAATGTAGAGAACAGTGATCATAGGGTATCCACAACAGAGCTGCACTTAAGGCTCAGGAAATATGGTGGATGGCAGAGCAGAAAATGTTTAAGAATCAGAGGATGCAGAAATCTGCTGTGAGATTTTGTTTCCCAGAAATGAGAGGGAACCTTTACTTATTGTACCTCAACAATATTGCAAACACGATGTGAACAATGACAACTCCAACAGATTTGTTAACACAGAAGGAAGAAATCGGTGGGACCCCCAGGCCTAGACAAAAAACTACGGGAATGCTGGGACTGGAAAATTAGCTCTTTTCAGGAATGAGCCCCTCAATTGGTCATCAAGCGGTCAGCCTTGAAATCATTTATACAAGCAACACAAAATGAGCCTATCAAGCTTTATTTATATATTTATACATATGCATACATACATACATCATGTAACAATAACAGAGAAACAGAGGCCATGAATTTGAAAAGGAGGGAGATTGGAATGTGGGAAAAGTTAAGAGAGGAAAGGGAAGGGAAAAATATGATGCAGTTATATTTAAGTTTCAAAAACAAAGAAAATAATAATAAACTTTAAATAAGTTTTAAAAACAAAACTTTTTTTTTAAGATTTGTTTTTTTATTATGTACACAATGTTCTGCCTACATGTGTCTACACGCCAGAAGAGGGCACCAGAGCTCATCATAGATAGTTGTCAGCCACCATGTGGTTGCTTGCTGGGAATTGAACCTGGGTCCTCCGGAAGAGCAGCCAGTACTCTTAATGTCTGAGCCATCTCTCACAAAATCACTTTTAATTAGGACAAGTAGTATACTTGGGGTACACTGGGGGTAGAGATGATCCAGAAGATACATTCAAATGCTAAAATAGTAGAAAATCTGGTTACTGACGGCTAATGACAATAATGAAACAAGATTTCTGAAACCAAGATTTTCCTGGAAAATCTTATTGACTACACTATCTGATAGTATAAAGCAGAATAGCTGAATCATGAAATTGTTGAGAACACTGAATGATTTTATATGCGTACATCAATGAAAAGTTTCTACATAAATATTAGCTATTAGACCATAAAAATAAGAGGGTTGTTGACCTGTTGCAAGCACTTACATATGCTGTGCGTTAGCTACCCTGACTGCATTCAAAGGCAGTGGGAGTGGATGAGATAATCAAGAAGGTCCTGTAGAACAGTGGTCCTCATAAGATGGCTCTGGATCAGCTAGT